CATTGACGTTACGTATTTCCTCTGCTATAACACGACTGAGAGATTATGGAATAACTTTGAAAGAATATGTTCGAACTAGAGCTTTTACGTAAGAATACGAAAATGTTCTTTGTCAATCCGTGTCCAAGTATGGAAAGATTCAGGTCAACCTCAATTTCTGCACCACAGACCATATTATAACTCACGTGCTAGCATGGGAATTCATGTGATTAATTGTATGCACAGCATCAAACACAAGATGAGTTATTGACGTTTACAAATGTTACACTTTATTGAGAGAGCTACTGCTGCTATAAACACAGCCGCGGTGAGAAAGTTGTTCTAGGATGGTGCAAATTTGAACAGATAGTGTTACATATGATATATGGAACGGAGGAGGATTTAAGAGGAGATAATTTAATGTTTTTGTTTATTCAGTTGAAATTCGAAACACAAAGAAAGCTCCAACGAATGGACTAACCAGTGACATCCGTCGACCGTACAAGGGACCACCCGTAGAAGGTTCTATTGGACTTTGACTCCGACTGCTTTCTTCAGCAGCACCTCGTTCTTCAATTACGTCTAAAGGAGCACCCGCTTCGTCTTCGCTGGCCAGAGAAGCTTGAACAAATCGTATATTACGAAGGAATTGGTGAGCTGCACGTCAAAAACTGCTCACACAAAGTCAGCTTAATGACTCTAAGAATCTAATAGCTAGACAGTAAAATTTGTTAAACACTTGTAAAAAGCATGTAGAATGTCAATCACCTTTACTTTTAACAGCTTCGTCTTCATGTTTTTCCAGCATTTGTTCTTGTGCCACTTTGTGACATACCTCAAACGCTTGTCCTATCGTACGGACCACCCGCATCGCTTGACTCTGAACACATAAGGACTAACATTTGAACGACAACTGCAAATCAAACGCATTCTGCCAGTTTCTGATTCTAACAAAATATACAAAACAAAAGGAATATAGCCCATTGTTTGCTCTAGCGGCTGCATTACCAAATAACAACATTTATATCTCCAACACCGTTCATAGAAATAAATTACTTGCCTCTTCTAAAAATGACAAACACCTCATACGATTTGAATTCGGAATGTTTGTGAATCAGACATAAAAACCAAAAACCATCTTTTGAAAATATCTTCTGGAACGTTTTATAGTAATCATTTCTCCCCCCATTTTTCAAGTAACAACGCAAAAAAAACCTTTTTGAATTAATGCGTTAGAACATATAATTTATCGACACATCTTAGTCGTAGTGATAGTCACTGCTTTTGCAGTTTAAGCTCATAAAACGCTCTCAAATGCGCACAGCAGTCGGCTTTGACGGGTGAAGAGAAGTAACGTTGGATAAGACCTGTGCACTAGTTTTCAGCGAAGAATCCTCATTGATAAACCATGTAGGGAGGAGTTCAATGAAAGAAGACTTTTGCATAAGGGGAAAAAATGCGGAATA